ACATTGGTGAATGCCACAAATTCTCCTAAATCACTCGTACGCACAATTTAAGAACAAATCTGTGCGTACGAACGGTTCTTGCATGAGGTCCAATGTTTCTTGTTGTTGTTTTCATTTGCATTAAGGCATGCAGTATATTCTTGTGAAGGTAAGATTTCAAAATGCAAATACTGATCAAAACTGTCAAACAGCTGCACTGTTTGTTTTAAATCCAGTTTTGATGCCTATTTTTCCTGTTTTTTTCTTTTTTAATTTATTTAAGCACTCACTCTGTCTACAAGAAGAGAAACACTTACCGGTCAGTCAGAGCCTTTTTGCTTGACACGGTGCTTGGACGAGGTGGCTGTGGGGTCGCAAAATTAAAAGGCAGGAGGGGTCTTTTAACAGGGGAGCCCTGAACTGAACCCTGAGGAGAAAGATAAAGATTAATTATTGCAGTTTTTATTTAAAAAAAATAAAATTCATTAATATCCTGATACTGATGGGTTATGTTTATGTTCCACATGCTGACGTTTGCGGGTGGTATCTGGGCGTTTTCGGTCACGTTACAGGTGTCCATCTGTTCCAGCATCTCTCTTTCCTCGTCAGCCATCTTTAGAGCAAACTCCACTTCAGCTGCCAGCTGCTCGTCCCCAGAGAAGAACTGCTTCACTTCATCACGGTAGTCCTGCATGGTCACCTGATGGGATACATGAAGTACATGAAACTCTGCATTTTGGCCCGTTTTTTTAAGTAAATAAATAAATCAATAACAACTCTGTGCAGTGTCATATCTTGTTCTTCTGATATTTTACTTCATATTTGAACCTTTTTATGTCCTGATACAATAAACTTTAAAGTTTAAACACAGTGTTCTCTTTTTTTTGTCAACTAATCAAAATTGGAAAAAGAAGTATTTATATGAGCACAAGGGTCTTACCTGGAGGTATCCCATGAGCTCTCGGAGGACAGGGGATCGTTTCTTCTCCAGCAGGTTCTTCAGGCTGATGATCAGAGGGACTGTGTTTTCTATGAACACTCTCCTCTGGACCTGTGGATCCAAAGAGAAAAGTGAGGCTCATCTCATCTCTTAAATTTATTCAACCTGTATTTAACCAGGCACATCCCATTGGGATCACAGATCTCTTTTGCAAGGGAATCCTGGGCCTGAGGGCAACATAAACATAAATGTTTTTAAAGGGATCCAGGATTAGTTGTAACATTAAACTGTTGTAAAACTGTAAACATACTGTAGGATGTTCAGTTTTGTACATTTTTTAAAATATATTTTAACATGGATGGAGCCATTTTATTTACACACAAAGCATTCTGGGTAAATGATGATGTGGTTAGGTCCTCGGTGTGAGCGAGCTATATCCACCCTGAAGGTTAATCTTGGACAATATCTGACGATCATCTCTTTTAAATGAAACCAGAGAGCGTTGACAGAGAGGAGAAGGTAGAAATGACTCAGCCTGTAACTGAAAATATGGATGGAGGACAACAGAGCTGCTTCATGGAAGAAGAACCTCAGCTTAGCCTGTTAGCCTTTGTGCTAGCGCCAACACTATATTGCCTTATATGTATTAGCTCGGTGCTAGTGCAACAAACAAGCTAAACTGAGGCCCTCCATCCATATTTTCAGTTGCAGGCTGAGTCATTTTTGCGTTCCCCTCTCTGTCACGTGTAGGGCTGAAACGATTCCTCGAATAATTAGAGTAATTTGATTTCAAAAAATCCTCGAGGCAAATTTATCTGCCTTGAAGCTTCGTAAAAAAAATACATACCGTTATAATCAGCGCACATTCGTCCGCCCGGAATGTTATTTGTGTTACACACAATGCAGCTACTATGTTAGCGCTTCCGCTAACAGTTACACTGTCAACGCGTCACGCGTGCTTGCTGAGCGCTATATTTAGTTTTAGAAGAAGAGTGCCAAAACGAAGCGCTCAGAAAACGACAAATTATAAAAAGCATGGGAACATTTAAAACTAAACAGAAAAGACAACAACAAGCAATGCTCTGTATTGCTGATTTATAGTATTTTTCAGGTGGTTAGAAAATAGAAAACAGAAAATGTATTATTAAACAGACAAATTCCCCCAAAACTACAGTTTAATAACACAGACACATGTTTGTAAAGAAACCTGATCAGAAGCACTCACCTGTGACACCACCTTCTTCTGTGCAGCCTGCATCACAGCCTTGGCCATGTTCTCCTCTGGTTCCTCTTCGCCTGCGCCCCCTGCTGACCCTGACACCACCTGCAGCTTTATCTCCTTCAGACTCAAGATTTTAAAAGTCTCTGACAGTATCTCAGCCCCATCTGCATCCAGAGGCAGCTCCTCATCTGCAAAACATGCTGGGGGGAAAAAATAAACAAACAAGGTTTTCTTCAGGCTGATACAGATCGAAGCCAAACTTCAAGCTGAAGTAGAAAAATAAAATGTAAAAAAATGTATGCTTACCTAAGATGGTCTGGTTGATCCTGTTGGTGATGTTGAAGCGCTGCGTGTCTGTAAAGTTCTCCAGCAGGAAACGATAAATCCGGAAGCGCTTCTCGATATACTGAGTTCCTTTCAGGGAGAACCGAACCTTTTCTCTGGATAGAATTTAAACAGCCAGATTTATTCAGCTTCAGATGCAATTCGTTAAAAGTTACTCGCACTGTACCATTTTAGTTGCTTTGTGAAAAAATAAACAAGAAAAGTTGAGTTTAAATGTTACCTCTCACTCTGAGGAAACTTGTTGTAGGACTTGTGTTTGTTGTAGGAGTTGAAGTGGAAGATGCACTCAATGAAGTGCTGGCTGAACATCTCTGGGTTCTTCTTCAGCAGCAGATGAAGCAGACAGTATTCACACAAGCTGGAACAGGAAGCATCATTAAGAAATGTGACATAGTTCAAAGGCTGTACAATGAGGCAACTGATTATTTAACTATGGAGCAGTTTAAAAACATGTATTTTAGGTTAAATGGTTGTTTATCTTAAATGGATYTTTATCTGTGTATTGACATTTGCATTGGAGGGCTCTAATCAAGACTGGAAATTTCACCTGATCTTTTTGCAATTTTGAGTCAAATTAATCTCCAACAATCATAGCCAAGATCTTAAGTAAAACTATGACTTTAAAAATGTAATTTAATGTATTACATAAGAAAATAGAAAACATCACTCCTAGTTCCAGCAGCTTAGGCTGTTTAACAAAAATCTGATTACGCCAAATTCCAAATTAATGTTGGAGAAATGTAACTTCTTGTTTTTTTTTAAGCTCAAAATATATCCACGTTAGTCTTGACACTCATGTATCTGACAATTTACATAATAATTTACCTGGCAATGGAAGGGACAGGGTCAACCAGTGCCACCATAAAGCGAAAGAAGAGAGAGCCCTTCCATTTCACAAATTCCTCCTAAATAAATAAAAAAGAAAAAATTTAGAAACAATCGATAAAAAACTTTTTTATAAGCTTGTTGCAGTTCCAGATTTTTTGAGTAAGGGGTCTCTGCAGTAGGTTCCCTACTTGGATTTTTTGAACGTGTTGCAGGCGTCAAATTCAAAATGAATGAATATATGCAAAAAGCAAATAAAGTGTATTTGTTTGCACATAAAATATCTTGTCTATGTAGTGTTTTCAATTGAAAATAGGTTGGAAAGGATTTGCAAATCATTGTATTCTTGTTCTGTTTACGTTTTACACAGTGTCCCAACGTCATCAGAATTGGGGTTATACTTTATTAGATAAACTCTTTAAAAGAATTATGGACTAAAACCAATATAAATGACTTAAAGTTGTTCAGATATCATTTATGCTTTCTTATTTATCAAGAAAACTGATTCAAATGTTCCCAAGCGTTCATTGTAAAGCAGAGCAGAACCAACCTGGAGCAGGTTGGTCAGCATGATGAGCGTCTGCTCCCTGATGACGGCTACATCGTCCCGCAGACAGGCAGAGATGTTTGGGATGTAGTGATCCACAATGTTGGTGTATCTAATGCACAAGTCGCACATGATCACCACGATGTTGTTGCGCACGGCGACCTCAGTGCCGACCTCGAGCTCTCTGGCGAACACTGGCAGGTACTTCTGCGCCAGTTCTTCGTGCTGCAGGCACAGTTTACCTGAAGGGAAATGATGGTTAAACGCAATGACAAACAACTGGACAAGACGCTCGGAAAGAGGAACAGAGGCAGGAGGAGTTTACCTAAAGTGATGACGCCGTGGGCTTTGACACTGGTGGGCAGAGGGTTTGCTTTGTACTGAGACAGAGGCTGAGACAGAGGTGGAGATGCTCGTAGCTCTTCCTGGTAACCTGTTTATTACAGGGAAAACAAAAAAAGGTAAAACGCAATTAGATTAAACTGTTCTTTATGGGATTTAAAAAGAAAACCGAGCTTGAAGTACCCTCTCTGTGCCACTCAAGTTTCTACATGCACACGCCAATGTACAGGCTGAGTCAAAAGTCTCAGGACACCCTTTTATTTCAGAAACAAAAAGGGAAAAATATCCATTACTTGCTGGGGTATTAAGATATGTAAAGGGCCCTATCTTTGGGAAAACGTGCCCTTGATCCAATATGGAGGCTTTCAAGTTAACGGCCGGGGTTTTCAGATAGTACATTTTCCCTTTTCTTTCTGGGTGTCCTGCTACTTTTGACTCACTCTGTACTTCAGTAATAAACTAACACTGAGTTTGATAAACATAATAAAAAATAAACAATATGTGCTGCTGAGATGTCCACCTCATACCTGCCTGCTGGTCTGAATGTGCAGTCATGACCGATTCCACCAGAAGCATCGTCTTCTTGCTGATCATTGCAGGACAGTGGAGCGATGCCACACCCAGAGTGTGGAAGTGTTTAATCTTGTACAGAGAACATCGTAAGTTTAGTCACACAGTACGAGAATTGAGATGCTTTTCACTAGGGATGTCCCGATCGGTGGCAGATATGGCCATTTTTTTGAAAATCAGGCAGAATCTGATTTAGTCATGTGACCGGGCCGATCCAGTTTTCAGTATCATCATGCTTTACAACTGCCGTTAAGAAGTCAAGACGCACACAAGTATGCAACCATGTCCACAGTGTGGGAACACTTTTCAATGGAAAACAATGATGCTGAAACTGCATCTTGCAAAATCTGCAAACTGGATGTTTCTCGTGGTGGGAACAGCAGGGCTTGCTTTAATACTACCAGACTTGTCACTTGGAAAAAAATTAAGCTATTGGATCGGTATCGGAAAGACTAATCATTAAAAAATCGGATTGTATCGGGAGCCAAAAAATCTGGATCGAGACATGCCTACTTTTCACTTTTCCACATGTAAAACCTTCTTGAGTTGCTTGTGAAGGCTCATCTTTTATTTTATCAACGTGTTCTCTGCTATTGCAGTTTTTCTGACTCATATATTCATTTCTGTGTAGTTCACCAGTTCTCACCATCAGCTCCTCGTTGAGGTTCTGGGTTCCATTTTCACGCAGGATGACGCCGGCTAAATAAGCTTCACAGATTGACACCAACTCACCACAGTGCTGATTCATGAAGGCCTGAAAAGAAAGACAATACTGTATGTGAAGAGAGAGAGGAGGAGAAAAACTACAAGTTTAGAATAAGTTCTTGATTCACCTCCTCCATGTGAACATAATTTTACATAAAATTTTATCAACTTTATTAGTGTGCCCTCAAACCAACCCTTTTCTAAATCAAAGACTTTCAACTGTACACTTTTTTCAGTACCTCGACTACTTTTTAGGATGAACCACCCATGGTCATGTGGGTGTGGAAAATTCTCTTTGGGGAAAAACAAAGATCCTCCCTAGTTTTTGAACCATGAGCAAACAATAATTGTCACTTTGAGTCTAATTTCATTTTTAAAAAAATCCATAAAAAAACATACCCAACAAATCAAAGAAACTCAACGGAATGATTTTCTTTTAATACAGAAAATGTTAAGACTTTTCCTGTTTTTATGCCTCTCACACAGTGACTGCTGGAGATAGACACTAGCCACCCACAAAGAAAAAGCAGGTAAAGCAAAATAAATGGATGTCATGTTTTCCAACCTGAGTTTGTTTCATGTCCTCACAAGAACCGAGCTGAAAGAGGGTCTGCACAGAAGCGTTGATCACCTCTAGACTCAAACTGAACGTCTTCAACCAGGACATCAGATCAGCTGGGGAGGGAGAAGAAGGTTACCACAGTTTCAGATTCCTCCGGTACATTTCCACATGAACTTCCTCCACCACTGTTTACCAACTATCCTTTCCTTGGTGTCTTRGTGCAAATGAGAAGCAATGTCACCGATCACAGAGAGGATGTGACAGCAGGTTGTCACATTTACATCCTTTGACCTGGGAAAAGACAGAATAAATTAAATAGTGCCGGATTAGAATAAATAACAAGAATCAGATGTATACGATCCTGTCTCCACCTGAACATGGTGTCCCAGGCCTCCAGGATCTTGTCGTATGGCAGTTTTGAGGATGAAGTGACGACCTTGGAGAGCAGCAGCCAGGCCCCTGCAGCATGATCAGCCTCAGTGTGTGAGATCAGGTTGCTGATAAACGTCGGGGTGAACTTGTTCTGTTTGGACCAGATGGTGAAGGCCCGGTTGAAATACCGACTGGAGCAGAAAGAGAGAGTCAGTGGAGAGGTCATTGAGCACAACCTCTTATTATTACAGAAAACCAATTATGGGTCCTAGAAATGTTTATGGTATGTCTGTGGCCTATCCAGACCATGTTCATTCAATTTAATGCACAAAATATTTCTCAGATAATAAAATTTCCCATTTTCTAGTTCTGCCTGCTCTGACTTCCGTTCAGAAGAGCTGTTTATGTTAATGAGCTCTGTTGGTAACGCCCTCCAAAAATCTGTTGACATTAACTCCGCCCTCCAAAGCCAGCGTTTACCTTAGCATGGCTAATAATAGCAGAAGCTCCGTTGTACAACCATATGAGAGACCCAGAGTCTAGTCAGCTTCTTTTTTTTTCTCCCACTCCTCTGCTCTGCCCTCACTCTGCATGCTGTTACCAGAGCAGGGAGCAGCAGCAGCAGCAGTCAAAATACCTCAGAAACTCGAAGAAATAGACTTTAACAAGGCTTTAATAAGCTAAACCAGTGTTTCCCAAAGTTGGGGTCGGGACCCAAAGTGGGGTCCTGAAACATCAAGGTGGGGTCCTGAAAAGATTTTCTGAATTAATTACATTTTTGCCTTAGTTGTTTCAAAGGAGTAAGGTTAGTGTATTTAAAAATGGATAAATGTGTATAAAAAATATTGTTACTATGCCCATGTTTTGTTGACCTGATACAAATGTTTATCATCCAAAAATAGTTGGGGGCACAGGTCTCTGCTACTGTTATTTTGTGGGTCAAAAGGTGAAAAGTTTGGGAACCACTGCACTTTGGTTCCCAAAGTTGGACTTGGGACCCAATTATGGGTCATGAAGCACCATAATAATATCCAGAAATCAATTTGAAGGATAATAGAATAATTGCTGATGTAATATTTTCCCTATAATTATTACAAAAACACAAAATAAGTAAAAATAAGTATTTATATTTGTGTACAACCTGTTTAGATTATCAAAAAGTCTGTGTTTTTAGGGTTATTAACGACGTTTGTGTACTCAGACCAGTAATATTTGGGGTCACAAGGTTTTGCCATGGATATTTTGTGGGTCAGAAGACAAAAAGTTGGGAACCACTGAGCTAAACAATAGAGGTACATGAGAAAACATGTTCATAACGAACGAAAATAAATAAATAATTAAATTGTGTCCGTGCCGGTCCCGAACCCTGGTCTCCCACTCTCTGGTCCAACAGCCCTGTTGGAGACTTATTTTGAAATGAGCTGTGCATTGCACAACAACAACCGCGACGGCTCTTTACACAGAGGAGGTGGAGTCTAGCTGGGTTGCTAGGTAAGGGGCTGAACGCAGGTTCCAGTGGGTTGTCATACGGCTTGTGACATCACAAAATGACAGAAGTATAAAACTTGTTGTTAATATACATAAAAAATGCATTTACTTACAGTAAAAATGCCACTGGGTGCATTATTTTTTTTGGTCCTAGGATTGTTTTTTTAAGAAGTACATACCCAAAGTTGAGTAAAAAAAACCTTTAAAAAGTGAATTTTGCATAATAGGTCCCCTTTAACTCATTATAAACAGCAACTCATTTTCTCTTTTAGTGCCTCATATTTAATGTCATTATTTAATCCAAATCATGTAGACACAGTAAGGGAACTTTTATGCATCATCAGGTAAAAGCTCTTGACAGCCATCTTTTCAAGTACTGGTAATCATCTGTTTCTTCTTTGCATTATCACTTTATTGAGGTTTGCATGGATGCACTTTTTGTCCTCATGTTTTTTGTTGCTTCTTTCTGGAAAATAGGCTTGGGGGTGTTATTGGCATTAAAATTATCTCAATTAATTGTAGCATTTTAGCAGATAAAATTCAATGAAGATTAATAAAGGACAACAGCTTTTACCGCATATATTTTGTCTTGTCTTGTACTCCAGTTTATGTCTGTGTTTCAGGTGATTAAATAGATTTGTAGGATTAGGGTTAGTGTTCGCTGCTCCACACTGCCTTCCACCATTGGCCTCACATGCACCCCTGATAGTGATGGTGTTTCACACACATAAATATGTCAGCTCCATATAGAACTAGCTGCAGTGATTGCAAAGAAGAAAATATTAATTCCTTACGATCAGTTGCAAACAATACAATTTTGCCCAGCCCTACTGGAAACCCTTCCAAAGAAGCCATATTTGTTCAGTTTTACTACTACTGTCTTTCCTTCTTTGTGTCATGTTAACACACACACACACACACACACACACACACACAC